GATCACATATAACACAAACATTCTCATCTTATAGCTTATACTGGTGGACTGTAACACGTATAGAAATTAGAACAGTGCTTATTCTTCTGGCTCCTTCAGTTTCTTGCCCCTAAGATATTGATTACTGTAAGCTTCTGCCACTAGTTATTAGAATCTATTAGTAATTTCACAGAAAATACGTAATACATTTATTTCACTTCTATAAGAGTTACTAGGTATCAATATTTATTTTTCTAGGATAATCTTTCCTTTATCTTGTTCTGTTTCGCATAACTAAGTTTTCATCATCTTCATGAAATGAAGCTTGATAAGCTCTCTCTTTCATGAACTGAAGCTAGATGCTCTATGTCTTGCTTCATGTAGCTTTTACGCTACCTGCTATGAGAATCCATTCTCTCTTCAACTGGAATTTGTCGCACACAGATTATCGATATGATAATTATAGAAATGTTTTATGATTTAGCCAACTGCTTGGTGTATATTTTGGATTTTCGTATATTTAAGGCCTGTTTGGTATGCAAACAAAATTGTTAAGTCATTCTTTTGGATTGGAGTCCGTTTCTGTAAGGGACTCCTCTCTGGGCTGTTTTGTGTAGGCCTCTTTTGTTTCTTTTGTATCTCTTTTCATTTTTCTCAATAAAGTATCGTGTCTTATCAAAAAAAAAAAAAAGAAAAATTTGTTAAGTCATGAATGTTAAGTCAATCTAACTTATTCTATTTACATCAATCAAATGGCCATAATTTTCTTTTTAATTTTTATTTGGCATTCAGCTATAACTTATGTACGAGTGATTTTTTTTTCCTTGCATATTATTAGGCATTACAATGCATTGGCAATCTGATCTCTGAGCATCCCAAAAATCTTGATGCTATTGCGAGCAAACTCCTTGGAGAGGGTGTCCAAGAGCCTGCCCTGAACTCAATTCTTAGGATCATTTTGCGGACGTCAAGTACTCAAGAATTCTTTGCTGCTGATTATGTTTTTAAGAGCTTCTGTGAGGTTATTTTTGCCTTCAACTTTCCACCTTTTTTTTCTTCACAAAATGTATTATTGATTTCATCCATATTTATTTTATTTTTTAATATCTAAATTTCAAATTCTATTGTGTTATTCTTCTTTCTAACGTGTTGTCTGAATCAGAAAAATTCTGATGGGCAAACAATGTTGGCATCCACTTTAATTCCTCAACCGCAGTCAATGATCCATGCACCACTTGAGGAGGATGTGAACATGTCATTTGGAAGGTTAATTCACAAATGCATCCTGCATTGTTCTTGTGGTGTTCTATTAAATACACCTTTTCTTTTTTCTTTGGTGAATAATGTAGAAGATGAGTTGAAATTCAATGAAATTTTAGTTCGATTATTTTAGCTTACAAATAAACTTTTTGGTGAATGATAATATCTGAATAAGTTTTTCTTGCAGCATGCTATTACGTAGTCTTACTTTGAGTGAAAATGATGGCGATCTGGAGGTAATATAATGTTTTAAATATCAAAGAAATGTTGAAACGTAAGACATGATTATGAGTGTCTACAACACGAAGTGTCATGATTTCTATAGTGACAATCTGGCTTAATATATGATTGCAGACATGTTGCAGAGCTGCCAGTGTGCTTTCTCATGTGGTTAAGAACAACAATCAGTGCAAGGAAAGGGTATGCAACTAGATGCATTTCATTCTAATGTTTTCTCTTGACGGTAAAGCATGAATGTTTTTGTAACTACTAATCCTACCTGAGATGAAAAGTGTCTTTGAAACTTTGACAAAATGGGTGATTGTCCATTTTTGAGGTCTTACTTAATATCAATTGAAGATCTTTTTTGCAACTCTTTGTAGCTTTGAATCCTTTTTGTAAATTTCATACATTTTAGTGAAATTGTTTCTTATCTAAAAAACTTCAAAACAAGAATTTGGAAGGGAAAGAAAAAAGCTTTATTTGCAAATTCCATGTTTCAGGTATTGAAAATAAAACTTGAAGCACCCATGCCTTCCTTGGGAGCTCCTGAACCTCTGATGCATCGAATGGTGAAGTATTTGGCTCTTGCCTCTTCTATGAAAAATAGAAATGGGAAGTCGGCCATGAGCAGCAACTCATATGTTCAACTACTGATTTTGAAATTGCTAATCACTTGGTTGGCTGATTGCCCAAGTGCAGTGCAGTGCTTCCTAGATTCACGTCCCCACCTCACATATCTGCTTGAGTTGGTTGCAGATTCAACTGTAACTGTTTCCACGAGGGGTTTAGCAGCAGTTCTCTTGGGGGAGTGTGTAATCTATAATAAATCAAGTGATAGTGAGAAGGATGCTTTTACCATTGTTGATACCATTAGCCAGAAGGTTGGGCTTACATCATACTTTTTGAAGTTTGATGAGCTGCAGAAGAGCTTTCTTTTCGCCTCCAAATCATCAGAGCCACGGAAAGCGCTGACAAGGTCTACGGCTGCTAGTATGGCTGAAATTGAAGATGTTGATGAGGATGATTCTTCTAATCAGACAAACGAAGAGCTTCCCATTATCTCATCTGTTTTTGATACTTGTTTTATCAACACTGTTAAGAGATTGGAAGCAGATATCAGAGAGAACATTGTTATGATATACAGTCAACCAAAGAGCAAGGTGGCTGTGGTGCCAGCAGAACTAGAGCAGAGGAACGGGGAAACTGATGGTGAGTACATCAAGCGGCTTAAAGCATTTGTAGAGAAGCAATGCTCCGAGTTACAGGTAGTACATTATTCTATGTCGCTAATTCGTAAGTAATTAATAAATTTGAAAGGCTTTAGTAGCACACTGCTATTATTTCTCTCTGTTTTTGACAAATTTTTAGGAGCAAAATTTTAGTTGCATTTGTATAAACTGCGAGGCATGGGCCATCGGTTATTGCTATTTTTGTTTGGGCAAAACTTAGGATCAAATATTTAGTTAGGTTGGAGCTATTTTTGGATGCGAGTGACTTTATCTCCCTCCATTAACCAGCAAGTCAGAATTTGATAGCAAATTTTCATGACTAGAGTCAATTCTAAATCTACATGCTATTGCATATACACATATAATTAATCTTCCCATCCCACCATATTTCGACTGAGATATGGAAGTAATTATAATCCGATCCCTCTACCTTCTCCCTTTCTAGGACCTTCTTGGTAGGAATGCAACTTTGGCTGAGGACCTCTCGAGAACTGGAGGAAGGAGTGACTCCCAGAGTGAGCAGAGAGTAAGTGGGCCATCCAACCGAGTTCAATTAGAGACGCTTCAAAGAGATCTTCAAGAGACATCTAAACGGCTGGAACTGCTCAAGGAAGAAAAAGTGAAAATCGAATCTGAGGCATCTTACTACCGAAATGTAGCTAGCAAGATGGAATCCGATCTTAAGAGTCTCTCTGATGCATACAACAGCCTTGAACAGGCAAACTTCCTTTTAGAAAAAGAGGCAAAAGCTTTGAAGAGTGGAGGACATTCCATTAGCCCAGACATTGAGGCCATCAAGGCAGAAGCAAGGGAAGAAGCTCAGAAGGAGAGTGAGACTGAACTGAATGACTTGCTTGTGTGCCTCGGGCAAGAACAAAGTAGAGTGGAAAGATTAAGCGCCAGGTTGTTGGAGTTAGGTGAGGATGTCGATAAACTTCTCGAAGGAATCGGAGACGACATGGCACTGCCCGAAGACGATGAAGATGATGACTGATATGCCCCATGTGATGTTCCTGTGCTGCTTTCTCTTTACAGGTATGCTTGATTATGTTTGATTCTCCATTTGTACATTTCTTGTTGAATTGTACAGTTTGAAACTTGTCTATTGTACTCATTCTGGAGTAACGAGAAGTTCGGTTTAAATTATGATCTGCCTGAAATCGAACTCCATTGGGAGTTTTCGACCTATGATTTATATTCCTCTCTAACATCCGAATATGAGATGCAGACAACGGATTTGAGTTTTTCCATTAGTAGAAGATGAAATTAACACTAGAATTAGCAGTTAAACTGTTTAAGAGGTCAAATCACAACTTCGTGACATTGATCCATAACCTGATTTCTGGATATGCCACAGATCTCTTAAACTTATTCTGAATGGTAAAAGAACTAGTCTCTAATCTTGTAAGTATTCTTAATGTTTAAAATTCTCTATTATTACCCTTAATATATTGAAATTTTCAACTACGTTCTAAAAAAATATTAAACTGTTGACAAAAATCCTGTCTCATTGATTTATTGTTTTATCAACATTTTACTACGTGGGCAAGGTCGAACATGTTATTTGAAATATTTTTTGTTGATGAGCTGGTCAAATTTTAAGAAGGGAAGCATTGGATTTTATATGTTAAATAGCATGCAAGTAACTTGTTCTATGTACTAAAATAAACTAATAAAATGATAACTTAATCATCATTCAACGTTTTCTTAATTTCTTTTAGAGTTATATAATTGACCATTTTTAATATATTGCTAAAATTGGAAATTTCAAAGATTAAAGAACAAATTAATAATTGGTAAATTTTAATGGGTGACAATTTTTATATTTGTAAATATAACAATAAGATTGTGAATCTGCAAATATAATAATTTATAATATAAATTTGCATGCGTGAGGTATGGTTAAAGTATATATAATTTGCATGCTTAGTCGGATAGTTTTGAGATTGATATCTGATGAGGTATATATTTTTCTTACAACATTCTCAATTAATTAAATTTCTGTGGCAATAAATGCCAACACTCTAATAATTACTCACTATATTATGATTTTTTTTTTACTTCTACTCAAAATATTATGATATTTTGTAATAAAGAACTAATAATCACTTTAACCCAATTAATTAAAGTATATATACCTGGAATCGCCTTTTTGTACTCAATAAAAGTAAATAATAATTTGTAATAAAAGAAAAAGTAAATAATAATTTGGGAACTTCCACAACAGATTTTTGGCAGACTATGCCTATCTGGGTCCTAAATCAAATATATTTAAATATATTTCAATTGAATGTGATAATTTCAGATTTCATTATCACTTTAAATCTAAGAAAAAAAAAACAGAGTTCTGAATTCCGACGACGAAAACTGAAATTCACAGAGAAAAAGAGTGAAAATCGTTTGAGAGAGAGAGATCAAGATGGATTCCGAGATATCGTCATCTTCCTCTGTGATCGAGCACAAGGCTTATGCTCGCGTGGGACTGCTGGGAAATCCGAGCGACGTTTACTATGGTCGCACCATTTCTTTTGCTTTAGGCGATTTCTGGGCCACCGTTCGACTCCAGCCCTCCGACGAGCTTGTCATCACTCCCCATCCCTATGACGACAACATCCACTTCACATCCCTCGTTCACCTGGTTTGCCTGCGCTTCTCCCTTCTTTATGTGTACTGCATTCTCCCACATCATTCTGACTGGTTGCTTGATCGGGATAGATCTGATTTTATTAGTTTCTCTGGAATGCATATGGAGAATTCATTGAGCGATTGAAATTTTAGACTGTCCATGAAATTGTGGGATCTTTTTTGTTTTCCCGCTGACTGATCCTTAGTATAGTATGTTTGTATTTATTTTCCTCTTCTTTTTCAAAGATCTTAAGAGGCAATCGGTATGAAATTAAATAGCACTATGAAATTTCGTCGGATGATATTGGCATTATTGGAAAATTCATTGGAATTGTGATTTTAAACATTTCGTGGGCCACTATATTCAATAATTCTGCGAAGATTCAAATTTTGTTTGTTTTGTTTTACAGGTAAATCGACTGTCCAGTCATGGCTACTATGGCGGGGTGCGATTGCTCATGGCAGTTTGTAAAATTTTTTATAGTTATTGCAGCGAAAACGAGATTCATCTTCATACAGGGAATTTTACTCTGTCGTATGACACTAATATTCCTCGACAGGTATAATGTCTTGTTCTGTGTGATAAAGCATAAATTAGTTTTCTTTTGTAATTCATGTATGTGTCCTGCTTGCAACATTTGTAGTTTCGTAATTATTTGTGGTCGTTGAAGTAGATGCTCTTACTTGTTATCATGCTTGGTAAAATAGCAATGCATTAAGCTTACAAAGCCTTTGGTGGTGTAGCCAATATGGATTTGTGTTCTTTTAATGATATTGAAAAAGGCTACTTCCTGAACTTTTGGCTCAATTTACACTCAAATTTATAACAGGCCCGCTGTCTTAGCTATAAATGAGCTCTTAGATTACATAGTTCACATTGATCTCTAATTGCACATCAATGCAATCTTGATTTGCTTGGCCAGTTCATCATCTTTAACATGAAGATGAAGATTCAATTATTTCATGATATAATTAATTTTTTTTAGCTTGCTTATGTTTATACCGATGCATATTTCCTTATTCTGCATATTGGCTTGCTTATTTTTTTTAGCTTGCTTATTTTTTAGCTTGCTTATGTTTATACCGATGCATATGTACTGAATGGCGTAACTTATAATTTTGACATTGCAGACAGGACTTTCAGGTTCCAGTGCTATTGTATGTGCTGCCTTGAGTTGCCTGCTAGACTTCTTTGACGTCAGGCATCTGATTAAAGTGGAGGTCAGACCTAACCTTGTTCTCGCCGCAGAGAAAGAACTTGGCATCATTGCCGGTCTTCAAGATCGGGTCGCGCAGGTTTATGGTGGCCTTGTTTACATGGTATAGCTTCTAAAATTGTTGATGTATTTATGAAATATGGAGATGAATTTTTTTATGATGTTTATTTCTTTTTCTGCAGGATTTTAGCCAAGAGCACATGGAGAAGCTTGGACATGGCATATACACACCCATGGATATTAATCTTCTCCCTCCACTCTATCTAATCTATGCTAATAATCCAAGTGATTCTGGAAAGGTTGATATCTTAATGGGCTCCAATCTCCATAATACTTTTGCCCCCGTGCAATTTTCCATCTCTACTATTGTTATTCATGGTCTAGAAGCTTGTTTGCACTTGCATCAATTGTTTTTGACCGAAACATAAAAATAATAGGTAAAATACTGGAGAAGCTCAACGGTACTCTTCTATTTGTACCCTCCATGAAAGATATATTGTCCCGAAACTGGAAAGTTTTGAATAATTGAACAACAAGGAACACTAAAATGAACCGTAACCAATAATCTCTTTTTGTGTCAGACAACCTTTATTACACTGCCTTTGGCCAAAGCTTAAGAGTTTTTCACATTTTTCAAATCTTATAGTTCCTCTATAGAAACTAAACCTTAACACTGCTGGAAATGTTTTCTCCAGCACTAATCACTGTTGTCCATGACGAATGCTAACGTAGGTCCACAGTACAGTACGGCAGAGGTGGCTTGATGGTGACAAATTCATTATATCATCAATGCAAGAAGTTGCTAAGGTTGCAGAAGAAGGAAGGAAAGTTTTACTTGAGAAGGACTATTCAAAACTTGCAGCACTTATGAACCGCAATTTTGATCTTCGCAGGTTAGCATTTCTGTGCTAACAAGTTTAGGCCATATATTAAATCTACTTATATCTCTTAACTAAATTTTCAACTCCAAAACTATTCAAAGTTTCTTGTGTTCCCTTGAAATAATAATTGTATTAGGAAAATATAATTGATGTTTATATGAGAATACTTTGTGCAAGTTCTGCAATTTGGCCTGCTGTGCTGTTCTGAAATTAGATGGCATGGCCTGGTTGGTTATTTGAGATTTCCCTCCAGGATTGCATCGCTATACAATCATGGCATTTCCATTACCTAGTTTTATTCTTTTTGATGTCTGATTGCATAGACTACGGAATTTGATCTTGGTTTTGAAGACATTTCAGTGTAGTACTCTTCGAGAAAAAACATTAATTAAATACTTTTCATAAAACTACTTTGAAGTAGTTTCAAGTATTTGTAGAATTTAACCAAACACCATGAGAAGTTTGAGAAGTGCTTTCGATTAGCTAAGCACTTCTTACTCTTCCCAAAATCACGTCGAACTCGTGTATGAGTGTTATTTACTGCTGTTTTGGCCCTCATATTTTGTGGATTCGCAGGAGTATGTTTGGAGATGATGTTCTGGGTGCTTTAAACATAGAAATGGTGGAGGTAGCTCGAAGAGTAGGTGCTGCTTCAAAATTCACAGGCAGTGGAGGAGCTGTTGTGGTATTTTGCCCTGAGGGGCCTTCACAGGTGGAGCTTCTGGAGCTAAATTGCTTTAAAGCTGGTTTTGTTCTTCAACCAATTCAGGTGGCTCCTTCATGCCTAAATGAGGTTGATCTTAAAACACTTTCCAGTTAAGACCTTGATAGATTGGTCATTTAGGTTTGCTGAGGAAAACTTATAGGAGCTTTTCTTTTGGACAGATATATAGGAACAGATAGACCTTTTTTTTTATTTATTTATATACTTTTTTTTAAGTACAGGAACGGTTAGACCTGGTAAACTGCATCAAGTGTTTTTTATGTTTTTGTTTTTTGTTTTTGTTTTCTTGAGAAATTGGGAAGAGGAATAGAAATTGTTTATTAGTTTATTACTTGATACATTTCTGTTCTTTATTACTTGATATTTAGTTTAGAAATTGTTTTATGGTTATAGAAATGAAAATTGAGAAATAGAGAGGACTGATATATTTAATAACAGACCATGAGATTTTGCAATTTAGAGGGTAAAGAAATGAAATCTCAAGGATAAACGTATTTATTCCAAAATTTAATTTTAAGAACGGAAATACATAAAGTTTAGGGTTTGTTTCATAACTTCATTTTAGTTTTTAATTTTTGGTTTTTTAAAAATAGAGTTATTTGATAACCCTTTCAATTTTGTAATTTTTGTTTTTTAAAAATCACTTTGAAATTTTATGTAAATTTTTAAAAAAAGGTAGTTTTAAAAAATAGATTTCTGTTTTTCAAAATTTGATTTTTTCTTTTAATACTAAACTTTTTTTTTCTTTCTCGTATTCATCTCTAAAAGTTTCTTTCTCACTTTAAAATTTTTTTCCTTCTAAATCTCTTCCCAAAATTTATCTCTCTAAAATTTTTATACTTGAGGATTTATTATTACTTGTCCCTCTCCAAATTTTTCACATTTCTCTCGAAAAAATTAATACTTTTTCGAACTTTTTCTCTAAAATTTTGTCTTTTATAACTCTTCCCCCTCTTTCTAATCTAAATTTATATCTTATTTTTTCGTTCAATTTTAACTTTTATTTATCTCTGTATTTATTTATTTTTCCTAAAAATTATATTTTGAAAGGTAATTCTATCGGCTTTTACTTTTTTTTCTTTAAAATTTTTCTCCTTTTATGTTTAACTTTTCTTTTACTAATTTTTTTTTCAAAATCTTTTTATTTATTTCTCTAAAATTTATCTTCCAAAAAGTTATTTAATGTCGCTAAACTTGTATTGTCATGTATTTACATTATGGATGACAAAAATTTTCGTAAGGTCTGACCCCAAAAATAGGAAATGCATGTCCTTCCCGATTTCATTTTTCAAATAATTAATATATATTTATTATAATTTTTTATTTTTTAAATTATAAAAATTATTAAAAACAATTATAAAATCGATAATTTTTTTCGAGAACTCTCTTGGACCGAAGAACGAAGTGGAGACAAAGATTAAGAATGGGGAGAGCATCTCACTCGCACCTACACATTGTTATCAAACATGTTTTTTGTTTTTTAAAAATAGAAAACCAAAAACTAAAAACAGAAAAAACGAGCTCTTAGAAATTCATGATTGATTTAAAATATAATATTAGAGAGTTTTAGGGATAAATAAGAAAATTGTTAAATTATAAATTTGGTTCTTATGAATTCAAAAAAGTTTTAATTTGATTCCTATGATTTTAAAAATTTTAATTTGGTTATATAATTTAGGTTTAGTTTTAATTTGTTCTTGATTTTAAAAGTTTCAAACTTTAGTTGAATTTAATAACTTGTTTTATCACTTGGATAGTCTTCTTTTTTTTTTTTACTCCATAAAATTCTAAAACTTTCAACTACCCCGGGTAATATGTCTGCCACATAAAAAAATTATAGGTTTAACTAAATCATATAAACTTCACATAAAAATTGATTTTATAACTATTAAGACTAAATTTAGATTAAATTGAAATTAAGAACAAATTATATAAATTAAATTAAAAAATTGAAATCAAATTTATAATTTAATCGTATAGAAAGGCGACAAATTACACACAAATATATATATATATATATATGGCGAAGTCACCTGCTCTAAACAGCTACAATGGCGAAGTCACCTGCTCTAATTCACGCCTCGCATTTCTTCATTCGCTCCACACTCATGGCTTCTTCCAAATCTCTCACTCTTCTCGTTCCATTCTCAAACATCAAGCATCTTCACAGAATCACCAGTTCATTCTCTGCCTTATCGTTCCGCAGATTTTCGACCACTTCCACCCCATACCCTCTGCAGTACGAAATGATCCTCAACCGGCCGTCCTATCCTCCACCACCCCCTCATAATCGGCGAAGACCCGCCGCAGCTGACTCTCCGGAGCTCAAGCCCTCCGAAGATCCCAGTTCGGAATTGGGATTCGAGAGCTGGGTGGATCAGAAACTTATATCCGAGAGTGAAGCTGTGTCCGGTAAGGAAGGCGTGGTCATGGACAAGGCTAAGAGGAAATATTACAACAAAAGAAGGAAGAGGATGTACGGGTCTGATTCTGATGAAGATAAGAGGCCACGGGAGGAGGGATTTGTGGAATTAAAGCCTGAGGTAGTTGAGTTTAACACATTGCATAAGAGAGAGGAGGAATTGTTCTTCTATGACACTTTTGCATATCCGTGGGAGAAAGATAAGCATTATAAAATGGTTTATCAGTTGGAGAAAAAATATTTTCCTGATCAATGTCTTGACAAGGCTTTTCTGGGACCTGGAGAATCAAATGTGGAAGTGAAGCAGCAAAGGAAGGGGATGAAAAAGGCAGTGGAGGTTAGGTCGGGGACGAAAGTGGAGGCCACGAATGGCGTGGATGACAATGGATTGATTTTCTTTGACGAGGCGAGAGAAGAAAAGGATAACAAAGATGTGGCCGAGAAGAAGGTGGAGGAGTTCTTTAAGTGTTTGAAGAAAGTTCCCGCCAAAGATTCTGAAATTATTCAGACGGAGCCATATCTTTTGACGAGGCATACCGAGCTCCCCGTCAAATGGGATAGTCCTTGTGGGACAGTGGTTTTGCTGAACAAACCTAAAGGTCAGTCTCTGGTTTTTTTCCGCAGTTCTTAAAAACGAATACGCAGTTAATAATCACTGATTTGATATCGTGCTGAAAAATTGTATGCTTTCACATGCCTGCTATAATTTGGACTGTTCAAGTGAGAAGTAAATTCCTCAGTTTTTCCTTTTTTTTGGACGTTTAAAGAGGAAAATCTGATGTTTGAACTTAGGATGGACTTCATTTACGGTATGTGGAAAACTTCGGCGCCTAGTCAAAGTGAAAAAGGTGCATTTCAGCCGTTTCATCTGCATAGATTAAATTGTTTAATTATCAATGCTCCTCTAACTTCTTTGTTTCCTCTTCTATGCATTGATAGGTAGGTCATGCAGGTACTCTTGATCCTATGGCCACTGGTCTGTTGATAGTGTGCGTCGGTAAAGCGACTAAGTTGGTAGACAGGTGATGATTAAATTAGCTATGTAATTGCTTTTTGTTTTTTATTCCCCATTTCCTCCTTTTTCCGAGTAAGAAATACTGTCGTTAGTTATAAACATAAAGGGTAAGATTATAAATCTTCTCTAGGCAAAGCTACTTGCTTTGATGAAATAGGAAGAGTAATTACAGAAAACCTTAGGCATGCAATGTTTCTAAGAGGTGGAATGTTTATCTTTTAGATATCAAGGTATGATTAAGAGCTACAGTGGAGTTTTCCGTTTAGGAGAGGCTACTTCAACTTGGGATGCTGATTCACCGGTTTGTTGATCTAATCTGTTAAGTCAATTATGGTTTCTTGTTTTCAACTGATATGCATCTCTGTACTGTATCCGTGTGTTCTTTTAGGAAATACTAGATTGAAACTAGATCCATCTTTACTTGTTCGCCTCTGTTAATGGATCTGTCAGATGAATCATTATTTTCCATTTAAGTTTTAAGGAAGAAGATTCATGATTATAGATTAACTCATCTCTGTAGGCGTGAGGAAATCTTGGAAATATATTGAATGTTAAGGGAGACTTCGTTGAATAAACATGTTCTAAATTTATCCTTTGTCTATCATTAGCATAATGCTTTTCAAAATTCTGTTGGTTGAGTGATTGAGTTAATTGCAAGGTGAGGTTTTGTTTTGTTTCACAATGCAATAAAAACTTTCAATTGCATTCCGTTCCTGATGAAAATCTAATTGCATATCATCCAAATAAGATACACATACCGCGATCCTTATGCAGGTAATTCAGCGAGAACCCTGGGAGCACATCAAAGATGATGACATACAAAAAGCTGCTGCCTCTTTTTGTGGGGAAATTTGGCAAGTTCCTCCCATGTTTTCCGCCATTAAAGTAAGGGTTTTTGCATTCTATGATTATAACTTTCACAGTAGAAGCAATGTTGTTACAAGTGCCAGTGCGTGCTTCATAATACAAATTCACGATTCATATCAGATCAGTATGGAATAAGTACAAATCTGATGGGTGGAAAAAAATGGTTAACAAAATATTTTATTTCAATATGTTGAAATTGAACTGTATGAATCACAAACAATTGTTTACGATCCACTAAGAGGTGAAAATATCCTGGAACAAAAAAGGAATAAATGCCAATCAAGAATTTACCGCCCTAGAACTTTGCTCACTTGGCCAAGTGGTTATGGGCCAATGGCATTTGCTTTAGAGTTTGATGCTCTGCGGGGTAAGATTATAGCAAATATGGATGTCATTTTGATGGATTGGACACTAGTATGATGACTAAAGGAACATTCAAGAATTCATAGAATGCTTCTTTTGTAGTGTCTACCTCAATTCATCTGGTTCTTTAAATTCTCCATAGGCAACGGTGCCATGCCTGTTTGTGAGAGTGTTTATTGGATTGAGGATAGTTCCCTATGTTCCATATTTCCTCATCTGTATGGTGTTTCTCTTTTTCATGAAAGATGCTTATATTAATTTTCTTTCATTGACAGAGCTTTCTTTCTTATACATGACATCTATGGAAAGTTTGTTTCTTTTTCAAAAATATGATGTTATGGATCTCTTTAGATTTAGAAATTTTGACTGTGTTATGTTTTCTTGGAGCTAGCCAATAATAATGACAGAATAAATTCATTATTTTCCATCGAGAAATTAGAGTTACTTGTCGATACAAAATTGATGTTCAAGGAGAACTTGGCTGCATAGTTCAGATTTTATTACAAATTTCATTGCTTTGTTTTAGGTCGGAGGTGAGAAGATGTATGAGAAAGCAAGAAGGGGAGAAAGTATTGAGCTTTCACCAAGACGGATCTCAATTTTCAAATTCGATATTGAACGTAGTTTAGATGACCGGTAGGTTCACTTAACTACTGCTGTTGCATCATGTCTGTAGTTGTAACTAGGCCATATGCAAATGCATTGAGCATCTAGATGCTGTTCAATCGGTTGTTAATAGAAATTTGTCTAGCTAAAATTATGGCATTTCACCAAGATAGCACTAGATCATTAGTTGGCATGGATTTAGAACTTATGTTTTGATGAGAATCCAGCTTCCACGAAGATAGATGAAAGTAGTAAAAGAGAGGTCAGATAGAAACACAGACCAAAAACAACAGGAGTTTCGAAATAATTACAGGAAAAGACTCTAATTTCTAGTGATTAAACATGAAGGAAAATCACTAAAAAGTTCAAATTTTCAGATTTCTTATTCTTGATATGCCCATTAATATAAAAGTTTCTAGCTGTAGCTGACGCATTATATTGATAACTTGGCCGACAACTCAACTCAGCTGATTGTTTACTTAATGAGTTATTGCTGGTTTGTCTGGCAGCTCAGATATACTTATTAGTTTTTCAGAATTTCACTTGAAAATGTTTTTTGTTGCACTAAAATGAGTCTAATTCGAAAAGTTGTGAAATATATTCTACAGGCAAAATTTGATTTTCCGAGTAACTTGCTCTAAAGGAACATACATTCGATCACTTTGTGCAGATCTTGGGAAGGTTCTTGGCAGGTATACATTTTCCCCTTTGGCAATGGACCTATATTTCTGGAGGGACCCCCTCTCTTCTTCTTCATTCTAATTCCTTTTATTTTCTTTATTTTCAAAGAGAGGGGGGTGGGGCGGGGGAGAGGGGAGGGGGATGCTTAATATTTACCTCTGTAGGTCAATTTTTAGAAATGCTTCAAAGTGAGATGAAACCTGTGTCGATCTTCTGATTTGTTCTGTTCCTCTCTTGTTTAATGACGACATGTAATGTTCTCGTCACTTGCAGTTGTGCTCATCTAACTGCTCTCCGAAGGGATTCAATAGGTCAGTTCAAGATTTTGTCTTTATTTTTTTCAGTTATCTTGGCTCAACACTTCAAATTTTATGAAAAGTTGCATTGAGACAGTGAGAAGGACACTGTCTACTTTAGCAAACTAGTCTCTAACAGGCTAACAGCTTATACATATATATATATAATACACACACACACACACACCCACATATATATCGACCAAGCTTTAACAAGTTCAATTAATCATATCAAAGCATCACCTTTTTAAGTCTTACAAAAAGTATTGGCAGTAGCTGAACTTAATATCCAAGACAATGTGAGATTGACAGGAAATCGTTTCCTCCCATTTCAGGGCAATATTTAGCAGATGATGCCTGGGAATTCAAGGAGTTGGAAGATGCAATTACCAAAGGTTATTTTTAGCTCAACGAACCCAACATTCGGCAGCAATTGTAAGTTGAGGGTCGATATGACACTTATCATCTGGCTTTTGCACCACCATCTTCAGATCAAATGAAAGGACAAGATGAGCAGTCTTTTGGTATGTATTTAAGGGGAAAGAGTTGTGTTGGGCATAGAAAAAATAACGAGGTAATTTTATACCGTTGTGTTTTTAAAAGAATGAATTTTTTTTTTATAATTTACAAAATAGTAAATCTTTTTGTCACTTTAGTACGTTCAGATGAGGATGCTTAGGTTATGGTAATGTTATACATTCATTGTAAATTTAATACTTGATTTTTTAGTAGGAAGTATGGACGAGTTTTGGAATTAATGGAGGTTTGTAGATGTGAAAGCCTATTTCATTGTTGAAATAATTATGAACTACAGTTCACATAATGATATTGATGGGAACATGTTCAAATAATCTATCATGATTCTAAAAGTTCATTACTGATTTTTCTTTTTGAAAAAAGTATTGTTGGCATATGATACATATTATTAGCTTTATGTGGTGATATTTGCTTTTCATTTGTATATAGCAGTAGCAATTATTTAGTAATTTCCAAAAATGGAATAAAGTCAATATCATATTTTGATAATTTTTTAATACAATTCCATGATTATTGAAATATATTGTTATCAACATGTGTGAAAGATTAACGTGTTAACTCTAACTTCATATCAAGATGATTGGTTAAGTAATATTTCAACTTTTATTTTTTAAAAATTACCCTTAATTTTTTGAAGGTTTCACATTGTATTATTATTTCATTAATAAATTTTAACAAAGTAATAACTTGATTGGATGAAATTAGAACCATATCACAAAGATAAAGGACCAACTCAAACATAGTTCAATTGATTAAGGCACCTAGATCCGATCGTGAGTTATAAAATAAGTAAATATAATTAGTATAAAGAATGTCCTCGAGCTTAAGTACAAGTAAATCATGTGTTTCATCAAAAATGTCAATATGAAATTGCTAAGTCTCTCATAAGACCCCAATTATTATCAATCGTGCATGTCAAACTACTCAATTGAACAAATAATGCAACTTGTGTAGTGTTGTAGCCAGAAGTTTTCCACCATAAAATCTATCGACTTTTGGTCTAAGAATTCAAGGTGACGTTCTAGATTCAAAGTAGACTTTGGGTCTCAAAGGTTTTGTTAAGTTTCTGTTTTATATAAATAATGGATATTATCATTCCATTGTATAGCTATGATCTAATCCATACGTAGCCACATTTTGTGCTCCCCAACAGGAAATTTTTGAGGGCTCAAAAAGATGGAGCATTAGTATTAATACTTCTAAACTGTATTCAAATTCCAAAACTAACAAAGATGAACGATTACCAGAGCAGATCAGAGCCTCTACACAAGATTTCTTCTAGTAGAAAGGGAAAGAATAATTGCAGCCGTTTTGCTACACTTCTGTTGAATTTGGGGGATCAATCCCCATTCCGTGATAATACGCCGCCTCGGCATCGGCCAGACGACTCTTAAAAATTTCCCATTCTCTTTTACATCTCTCTCTTACCTGAGAGAATTCAAATTTACTGTTAACATCAAAATTCTAAATGTTGCAAGATGGGGGTGAAAAGGCATCAGCTGCTTACCCCTTCCCATGGTGCTCTACCATTTTCTGCTTTTCCCTGTTGGAAGAGTACAGTTAGAGTAACATCTTTGTAATGAAATAGTAGAGGCAGAATTCGAAGGCGTCGCATTACCTGGTTCCCGAGAGAAGGAACACTTTGATGAACAATCCACTGAGAATCTACAACTCCTATTTTCTCATGAGCGGGCTGCTTTAGAAGATCAAAAGAAGAGATGAATCTAGGAAAGAAACGAATATGTGAAATAATTCAGGCAAGTGAGAGTGTTTTATACTTACGTGCACACATTTTCTTAGAGCAAAATCAAGACCCCAGCCATGAACCAAGTCATTCTACAATATCCAAGAGGAAAAATAATTTAGAACTAGCTAAAATTAAGTCATGGCAAAGGATCAAAGTTTAAGTAGAAGAATCCATACTTGAATCAGATGCCAAACACAGCGCCATGCATCCCGAGAAAACACAGTTGCCATGATTTCAACAAAACTACATGCAAGTGAAGGTAAAAAAAACTTCAGCATTTCTGTTTAAGTCATACTGAGATAATATGAGAACGCACAAAAGGTATATAACAAGGAAGTGAACTGAATAAATAAAAGCATTGATTACACACGCTGCACAAGGTGGAAGATGTGGATCAGTGCACCAACCAGGTTTCTCCTCTGTCTCCCTGCATTCAACCAAAAGAGGAGCAAGGATAGAAGCGTATGGATATTTAGATGAACAATAAAGTTTAAAGATGATTTTTTTTTCTAATTAAAAAAAAATGTTCCCCTTACTTGTGAACTTCACTTTCACCTCTCCTTTTAGTCATTTGCCACGTTAACCCTTGATTTGGTTCTAAGCCAGGTTGTGAAATCTCCAAACCATGTTTTCTCACAAGTTTTATATATCTGGAACAGACGGAAGATTCTATGTTGCTTGGGTTTTCTAATAAAATTATAGAGTAAGGTTTCAAACTTACTCTTCTGCATTAAAATGCTCTACTCCCAGATCCTCGTCCCAAACAAATACGTAGTCATAGGAAGCCACAATGTCAGGATGTAGAAAACGTTTGGCGTACCACCTATAAAGGAGTATACATTGTTTAGATGAGATGTACGAATAAAATTCATTGCTACCTTCAATGGAAGATTATTACAGTAAGGAGCTTGTAACTGACCATTTAGTTTGCTTGTAGACACTCACATGGATAGCCCGCTTTGACCACTCAAGATCTTCCCACTCACTTGCTCGTCCATCATAGTGAAACAACACAATCGTGAAGTTCTCTGAGAACTGTCAAAATATATCAGATAAGGAGAGAGAAATGCAATAACATGCACATGTTTTCAACTTACCTTTTTAACTGCTGCATCAATATTTTTTTTCTGTTCAAAACCAACTGTAAATGTTACCAGATACTTTGGTTTGATGGTCAAATCCTGCAAGTGAACACCAATAATAGGTTCAATTTTAAAACCAGAGTCGAAATTTTGATCAACTGATAAGTGAAATATTTCAATAGTAAGTTAAGGTCACACATGACTTCATGTTCTTATAGTAATCGTATTTATTATAACGATTTCAGATGTGATAATCTCGACTTTGTACAACTCATCCAACATCTTTGTCAATAAAGGGAAACACATCTAATTCTCCATGATCTTTTGTTTTTGACAAAATGTATCAGCTGAAAGTTGTGACAGGAAACAGATATGAAACATAATTCAAGCCTTCTATATAAGGGATAAAGTGTATCGTGGATCAACTTTACTCTTTGATGAAATTGCCATTAGTTTCCTCATAGAAAAACAGGCATACACCACACAGGTATTGTTGCAGATAAAAAGATGTAGATCCGTGAATGGCATGAAGCAGCATCCATCAACCCCCCTACCCCAAAAATTATCTTAGATATATCTATTTTTTAACGTAGAACATAAATTCAAACCAAATTGGTCACTCATTTGGTACCAAATGTGCGACTGACTCCTATCTCATAGTTGTCCACTTCTTGTCAAATCTACTGTCAGACTACCAATTTATTTGTCAAGTTGGAACTATACGAGCTTGTACAAGTAAACTAGATTAAAGCTATTCACTAGTTTTACACACAAGATTATTAGGCCAAATAAAAGTTGCAAAGTTTCCGTAGGCAACAAGCACCTCATTTGGCAGACCCCACAGACGCCGGAGGTTAAAATCAGATTCAGACTCAACAATACCAGGTGGTAGTCTTTCAGCTCCTCGAGGATTTGTAGGAACCCATATCTGCATCATCATCAGAGTTTCAATAGCCAGCTCTAGCAGAAGAAACCAGAAATTATGCACATACAAAGTTCTCCGTAATGCCATCTCATCCCAACGTATTTACATGAATAAAGATATCCACAATTAATCTTCAACTAAGAAAACAAAGTTAATTAAAGTTAGATCACAACAGTATATAGTACTTTTTCATTGTGAATAGGAACTAAGGAGATTGGTTATCTACTCTGCCCATGGAGCATTGTGCTTCAAGAGAAAAGTTCAGAAACAATCCTTTTAAGGAATGAGGTACAAATTTATTAATATGAAAAAAAAAAACGAGTGATGACAAGTCATTCACCTGCAATGAACCAAAAGAGTTGTAAAAAGACTAACCAATTGGCTTGAATTAAGACAAATGAATACTCTCCAAAAGATTTAATCAAAAAGCCTATCTAGAAGCTAAAAGATATGATCTTATCTACAACTTCACATTTCTAACTATCTACAAAGATAAATCGGCTTCTCTCCAAACATAGCTTCCAAAATGCAACTCCAACTGTCAACAAACACAAATATTAAGTTCTTTCTGAAGGCATGACTAACATAATTTGAAGCGTGAAACTTTAACTTATTTGAGAAAAGCACCAATTTAGGTTGAATAAACAAAGAAATTCCTAGAAAACCTGCAACTACGACAAAGTTCTCTTTGGTTCTCAAAATCATTGTTCCAATTGATACAGCAATATGGGAATGGACAAATCAAAGAATTGAACATAGATTTGCAAGTGTATGACCCTGAGTTTCCTTCCAAACTCTGAGTCCTTGGTATGACTGGGAGTCTGGGAATAAAGTCATGAATAAGTGGGAGAGATTTCTCCATCCTATAGCTTATCTATTAGTAAAGTTCCTTTGCGTTACATTATTTTAAACCCATTGATGCTTTTATGCTAGCTATCAGCAAGGTTTGAAAGCCTCAGAAATTAAACACAGAAAGCTGGTATCATAGGTAGGAAAGTTTTATCATATGAGAAAAAGTACCAGAACTTCAGTCACAATGATCAAACCATTCTCCAATCCAACAACATTATGATGAATGATGAAAATTTGAAGGGAAAGATGATAAAATCATTCTAGATCCTTATCTAGAAAAAGTCAATTTTCAAAATAGACATGTACTTCATAGTTACCACCATGTTCAGTCATACATCAGTTTTAAAATTTTAAAGAATACAAATCACTAATATCTTCCTATGAAACATATAAAAAATATCTTGCTGATATAAATCTTATGTAAATAAATTATGATTGCATTCTACAGCAAAACAATTCTTAGTTAAAAAGTGCACCTTTGTCTCATTCGGTGGAAATTGCATGGAGCTGCCTCTATTATTACCCTTCAAAGAAGACCAAGCATTCAAGAACGCTTCAGCGGAGAGGCCTGAGTACTTGTCCTCAATGTAAGTGAGATCAATAGAAGGAATCAGGCTGGATGGGAAATTTAGCTACCAGAATTGAAAATAAAAATAATAAGCTCTCTCACCGGATCAAATTAAATATATACATAAGTAATAGAAACGCCAAAAATAAAATTTCCTACCTGAGATAATGAGATTGTAGGGAAGGATACTCCTAAAAAGAAACCGAAAACACCTCCAACAAATGTGGTAACCAGAATTCTCATTATCTCATTAGGTTTTCTCATGTTTCCACTGCACATTAATACAAGTCGAAAATAAATATTTCACACAGAAAAATATTGTCTGTAAACCATCGGTAACTACAGGAAGCCGAAGCTACAAACAATTAAAAGGACAATAAGAACTTGGTTATTTTTTAACCTGCGTATTGGGTTCACCATACTGTCCAAAACCTACAATTTTCAGGTTGAATAAGAATGTCGCTGAAACCTATTCAGTGCAGGAATCTGGAATGAATTTCATTAATCAATTTTGCAGTTTCCGGAACTCCAAGCTTGAAGCTGATGTCAACTTATTCAAAAATACCAAGCCTGAAAAGATGAAACAAATGGGGAAATAAACCTCTTGAGCAAAAAGTTGAATAATTAGACAACTGACCAAAAGGTCTACAGCAGCATCAAATGTAATCACAATTGCTCAAACTTGCACTTCTTTTCAATTCTCATGCTTAATTTTGCAGCCACTATAAATTCACGTGGACCATCCAACATTGCAATAACAAACATTAACTTCCAAACTGGAAAAAATCACTCGAAGTAATCGCCCCTCCTCAACTAAGCTAAGATCAATTTTTTAACAGAAAATAGAAACACCAATACTGCTACTAAAATAGATTCGTATGTCAAATAAACCACGCCAGGAAGCGAATTTCAGGTCGTCCTCCTAAGAAAACCGGGAATTGACAACCTCCATAATTAGAAATTAGACGACATGGGTCAAATCAGTTTCTGCAATACGAAAACTATACCGAAAATAAATTCTGTGAAAGAGAAACCTGAATGAGAAATCCCTCCAAACGGCCGATATTGACCACGAACACATTGAAAACCGATCTGAATCTCGAAAAATCTAGAAAGGGGCGTAGATTGCCGGTCCAAGATGTACGGCCGGCTATGTTCTTTTGTGGCAAGAATGAAAACGAAGCTACGGGTTGTTGTTGTTAATCTCCGAAGGAATCGAAGAAATGAGTTGAGAATTGAGATACTGTGGGAAATTTGAATTTTTTTCCCCTTGAAATTTTGTTTTATCGACGAGTTTACGTGAGGATGATGGCAATGGCATGGGCCAACAAGAAACTGTTTATTTCATTGTTTATGCTTTTTCAAATCGTTACATTATTAGAATGTTTTTTCTTCATTAACCATAAAAAAAATAAAAAATTAGAGATTAAATAGATAACCATTAAAATTTAAGAATTAAACTATAGTTTAGCAATTAATTTTTAGTTGTTGGTTGACCCTTTTGCCCTTTCTTTAAGGAGCTATGAGCTTCCTAATTGAAGCTAAATTATCGATTAAGGAGAGTTATAGATTTCTTTATTTAACCATAAATTGTAACCACCTCCAGAGAATAATTAGTGTAATGGAGGTATGACCATTTCATAATAAACTTAATTAGTGTGGCTGCCAAACAATCTAATCCCAAATTTGACCCTATTTTCAAGTATGAATTAGTCAAATTTGCATTTGTTTTTTCTTCACCCTCCAAAGGCTTCTTTTTGCTCCACTCTATTGGAGGCGAATCCTGACCTGCCACGTGTCATGATCGAAAAGGTGAGTTGGTTAAACACGCGAGCGAAATGGAGAAATCGGCTCCAAAATACTCAGGTCGGCAGTCAGGGTAGGACCTATAGTGCCGAGCTGAGCTAATACAAAGTCTGTAACAGTATCCCTCCCGTACCCGACAACACGCCGCGATTTTAGGGTGCTAGAACTAACTTGCTCGTCGGAATGCTAACTTTGTTTTGCAGGTCTCAAGAACGGTTCAAGGGAGGTGCGGGACTATTGGCTATAGTTCGTCCTGAGCACACCGATCTAAATCGTGTCCGAGCTCAATCAATTTCGGGCTCAAAACACACTCCATTATAATTTCATTGCCATTCTTTTTTTACTAAAAGGGTTTCCTTAAAAATTTAGGGAGCAATTAAAATAATTAAAATATTATTTGATAATTAAAATCTTTAAGTAACCCATGTAGTTCAAAATTTATATTTTTTGCATTTAAATTTTGTATTGACATTTAATGAAGTTTTAGATCAATAAATGATATGGGATTAAATATATATATAAAAAAAAAATTGATACTTAATGATGAAATTTATTATAGTATGGATTAAATTGTTACAAATTTCAAATTATAAGAATTAAATTAAACTTGAAATTACAAAAGACTAAAGAGTTACAAACTAAAGTTTAGGACTAAATCGAAACTTCTAACTAAAATGATAAAAGGAAAAAAGGGTTCCAGTTTAAAATTTCACTGAGATTCTCTGAAGAAAAATAAAATTAGATGTACATGACAAAAATAAAGATGTTACTCATTAATAACAACAAAAACAAAATAGTTACCAGCCAATTCCAAGCTAAAATTATTTGGTTAAAAATATTCTCAACAAAAATAGAAATCTTCTTGTATGCAACTAAGCCAAAAAAATTTCTTTAAATGACACTATTGTCATTGTGTCTCCTTCATCTCGTGCATTCTGCAAAATGATTGTATCGTCATGGAATTGGTATCATTCCATCTTCATCTTCAGCAACGATACTGGGTTGAGTCAATGGGAAAATTGCCACTGCAAATATATCTATGGATCCAAGCTCTCCAATCTTCATTTTCAATTGGGAGCTGAGGACCTTAAAAATATGTAGAACTTGGTTTGCCTACAAGGGAAGAAGTGGCAATTTACAGAGCAGAAAAACAACCTTCAAGTATAAATTCATACTTTACCAGGGACCAAAAAATCCAGCTAATGAGGAAGAAAAAGAGAATGAGAGATTCAAGGTTTGTGTTGGCCTAGTGGCCAATCTAAATAGTAAATGACTTCGATGAATAAGTTCAAACTATGGGGTGGCTAGATGTAAAAGGGCAGATATAAAAATAATAAAAAATAAACAAAAGGGGTGCTTCTGTAATTTTCTTAGTGCTTGGAGACTTCCCGTCTTCCCTTCTACCCCTCCTAATGGAAGTATTTCTTATCTGATGAAAACTAATAGATCTGAAGTACAGTTATCCCTGAGCCTATTTTACGATCGTTCTCCCATATTTGGGTATTTAACTATAATTCATCTTCTCTGGAACTTATAATCTAAGAAGAGAACCAATTTTTAAAGTTATGATCCGTATTGGAGAAAAGCCAGCCAGTGCCAATAAGCTAAACATGAGACTATTTTCTGAATCTGCGAAGTGACATGCTTCACAATAGGAAAACAAAAATTATATCCACCTGAAAAATGCAGCAAAATCAGACTGTTGCTGCTTCATTCTCCCACAGCTTCTTTCTTGCAATTAGAACCCTTTCTTCTACGTTGGAAAGAGCATCAATCCTTGGTTCCACTTCTGATAACCATCCATCCCATCTTAGGGCCGTCACAAACTTCCTAATATAGTTTATGATAGTAGGAACGTCTCGTATAATGACAAATCCACCTGGCCTAAGGATTCGATCCATTTCAATCAATAGATCCTCCATACTGCACCCACGAACATTAACTTCTGAAAATACAGCCCAGGCATGAAGAAGATCGTAGGTGCGAGGATATGTTGAAAATGCTTCACACCTGTAAAACACAACCAAGGAATCTGAATAAGCAAAGACCACAAACGGGGAAGGTAGCATTTAGCACGTATTAATTAGGACAGCATTTCAGATCAGTAGTATCATAAGATGGTATCAGCGAGAATAGGACAGCAGCGGAAGATGCCATTATATTAAATAACCAAGAAAAAAATAACGAAACAACGTTTAAAAACAAATTGCCTAAATCAACTTATGTAATGAAAAAGCACATAGTAAAGTACATACCAATCATGAACAGTTCCTAATAAGCCCCTATCATAAACAATCTTTAATTTTGCAGATGAATTGACAGAAGCAACATTCATCACCCAGATATCTTTATCAATTAGTGCAGCAGCAAAACCCCCGAGATTGGAATTCATATCCATTACATTTCTTATGGAGTCCCTCTGTATGACAGATCTCATTTCTTTCCAATATTCTCCCACTCTAAGCTGCCATAAATTCTGCATAAATGAAACTTTTCCTTAGGCTTCTTGAATATGTTGAAAAAGAACAGGAAACAATAAAGCATCATTTGGTGCTGCTAAAGCTTAAAAACCATAGATGACATTGACACCTTAAAAACTTACGCTGTCTTCTTTGAATTCCTCTGCACTGACACTAACTTCTTGAAGACGGGGAGGAGCAGACACAAGTCTCTGTGGCCAAGGAACTAGTCCACTTCCTTTTTCCCTGTGCATCTCTGTTCCATTGATATGTCAAAAGAGAATAATGTAAATGAAAGTATGCACAAAGAGCAACAAGCTAACAAAAAGAAATGAGAAATGAATATACAGAGCTATAGCCGATAGAAATAATATTTGAAGGCAGAATCTGTTGAAAAATAAAACTCTATTGCTTAACGACATTCAAATCTTTGCGTGCATACCGCTTGAAAACTTTCTTTAGAAAAGAGTAGTATAAATCATAACATCATTACAAAACCTTAAAACATGAAAGGTAAAAAAGAACGAAACCACATACAACTGCGAAGATCAGTAAACAAGAAAAATTTTCATAGTACGATCAAGAGCACGTGGCTAACAAAAAATTCTTTCATAACTATAGTCTCCTTGTGATTGCAAAGGATTGGAAAGCTACTCTATCTTAGATTGTGGGAGGGAGGGGGTCTTCTCAACCCTTGGCCCTTAGGCTGTGATTCTCCTTTTGTTTCGTTAATACAGTGATTTCTTATACAGAAAAAGCATGAGGCTAACACGCATTTAGACTCACTTGCAGAGTATCGGGAAATGCATGCTTTCATTGACACGTTCCAAGTCAAATCTGGATCATCATCCAAATCACACAAGGGTGGAAGAGTCCCTGGATATCTTTTCAAGTAACAGCTATTACTTACTGGCTTTGACCATATGACAGTTTGATCCTTTTTTGCAGCAACTTTCCAGCACATCCTTCTCAGAATGTCATGCATAGCAGTTCCAATCCTTCTATTTTCGGCATCATGTGCATATGCTTCAGGGGAGGAGTAAGCAAAATAACCTCCAGGTCTCAGTAATCTGTCAAGTTCTAATAAGAGGATTCCATCTCTTTGTAGCCAATCAATTCGACATCGAGAACAATGAGCCAACTCAAATGATCTACTTGGGTAGGGGAGTCTTTTTGTTGCCAAAACACCAAGAGTTGATGGAATCCCCCTCTCAAGCGCAAATTGTATTTGATTCTGGTGCACATCATTAGGTGCCAGTGACATGGCAATGATATTATGTGAAAGAAGATATGCGCCAAAACTTGCAACCCCACAACCCACATCTAGAACATTCCGTAAATTTCCACCATTATGGAGCTTATCACCAGGGAACTTAAGCATCTACACGCATAACAAGAATATTCAGCATTCTACAAAGAGATCAAATGAATATCATGTATATGGGTCACCACATAGTACTCATTTATTTGGAGAAAAAAGAATGAGCATAGAAACAAATTTTGACACTTTGGAAGAAGTCAAATTACTCAAATTTGGGATTACTTTTTACATTTTATTATTTTTCCCCAATGCAACACGTCAAGGATTGAGAATGGAAGAACATCTCACCTTCGCAAGTGCAATGATATACTTATCAGCTCCATAGTGAAAATGAGTACCACCTCCAGGAAAAATGATCTTATCCCCATTCACAACCATCCAGTTCTGATCTGATTTTTCTTGTGCAAGGTGTGTATGAGGTATGTTTGCCTTCCATACTTCATCCCTACTATTTGGCCATCTTATTGGGATCTGAAACTCTAATCATAATTTTGTCGGGATCAAACTTCAAAACAAGCCGAAACCATTCTACTAGTAGCTTTTCTTTACATAACTACATATGACCAACCTTGTAACCAGTAGGAGGCGGAATGAGACAATTATAGCGGCGTTCAGGAGGGGGGCAATGCCGCTCATAGTGCTCCATCAAACTCAAGTTGA